AAATATTCACGAGAATGGCATGCATTTATTATCAGATGTCTAAAAACGAACAATTCGGTAACATTCATTTTCCTTTATCTCTCTCATATATATTTGCATGTTTATACAACAAATCAATATGTTAAACCTAAATTTTAATCGAATAGGAAACAGAGAAGCAAAATAGATAGCTGAAGCCTTATTAGAAAATAGGGGTAACTCTGATAGTATCAACATGTGTTTCATATCGATCTTATACTCAACATACAGACACTCACTACCCTGATACTTAATTCCAATTCAATCAGTGATGTCGGGACAAAACATCTCGCTCTAGCTTTAATGAAAAATACGGTAACCTACACCCTATCTTCGCTTCTTTCATATATATTCTGAAACTTAGTGCAAACGATGGAAGAGGATTTATCGCCTCTGCATTATGCAACAACAAGGTAATTCTCATTCTCTCTTCAACTATTATATATTCACCTGGTATTCTTGACACATACACTTGCCGATCTCAGTCTTTACCGTAACTATGTTCGAGAAAAAGAAGCAATGCATTTGGCTGATATTTTAAGAACCAATACCGCTATATATATATCATTTTCTTAGTTTTCAATGTTTTTCTGCACAAACAGACACGCACCATGTTGAACTGCAATTGCTGTAGGATCTGCGATAATGGAGCACATTGCTTCGCTAACATCTTAGCAAATAATACAGTGATTTTAACTTTCTTTTATTTTTATACTCTAGCATTCATCATCTGCTATATATACAGATACTCACGAGGGAACACATAGAACTGATCAAACGTTATTTAACTTTTAGTAATTCCAGTCTGTAGAGCTCATTGAGTTATTAACAGATATAATAATTATTCGTGCCCATAGTGGGTTTAAGAATGAATTTTCCACAAATAAAATTTATATTAAATATCATAGAAGGTCAAAGGTTAAAGGTCACAGGACAGTGTCGGTTTATCTGAAACTTTTTATTTCAGCATAGACATACAAACATTCACCAGGCAATACTAGTCTGCTCGAATCTATTTCAAGTCAATGATAATGATATGACTCATAAAAATGATGAAAACATAAAACTCTTTCACAATTAACAAATGCACATCTTATAAACGAGCTTTCTTCACACAAAGAACAAGTCAGGTTAATATCATCAAAACAAACTTGATTGACAGTTTGAAATGTTTCATAGTTCTCTGAAAAATAACCAGCTTTCTTCCAAGCATATTTCCACATAGGTGTGAACACACTTGATGTTAACTGATTGTAAATTAGCGACTGTAGCTTGATTACTCCATTACGCAATCTTAAATCGTAATTTAATTCATCAAGAGCTACTCTATTGTAACATCTCTTCACAAAAGTTTTCCATTGTCTGAAGACAAATACATCCAAAGGTTGATATGTTGATGTGCATTTCTGTGGAATTTGTAATCTCATAGAATCTTTTTGAAAACATTTATTAAACTTATCTTTTTGGAATTTTACTGCAAAAATGTCATGAATAAATGCAATTTTGGTAAAATTTTTCTTTAATATTTCATCGTAGTATACATCCAAAATATAGGTATTCACTTTACCAGAATTGGAACATAGCACTAACAAATTTTCAGGTTGAAATAAACCTTTTTTAACGTTGACACCGAAACTACCATTAGGCTCTTGTAATACTAATAAACATTTTCCAACAAAATTGCCTGCTGAGTTTAAGGTTGGCTGTATAGTATAACTGTGAGAAATTGCATTTAACGAATTAACACTACATAAGATATCTTTCTCTCCTATAGAGTTCAATGTTCTGTTAGAGTGCAACTCATAGTTAAATCCACTTTGGTCACTGTTTACAATTATACTGCGGTCAAAATTCATTAATTCTTTAGATGCAACTTTTACAAAAGCACGACCTTGTTTTATTATTTCGTCAATATCTATTTCAGATTTTGATGAAATAACCTTTGTGATCTTACGTGAAGAAATTTTCCTGTTAATTTTGAACCATCTTATCCAGTCGTGGCTTGCAGTAAAACTTTCTAATTTATTTTCTTGGGATTTTTGTAAAGCCCATTTTTTAAGATCCTCATCTTTAACTGGCAAATATTTGCTTCTTGCTAATTGAAACTTTTTCCAAACAAAATCTTTAATTAGTTCATATTTCTGATAATCAGTACCGCCTTTTGCAATATATTTTCTTATACGAGATACTTCCGTTGGATTTTTCAATTTTCTATATTGATGCTTTAACGTATTGAAACTCATTCTTTCACTTTTATCGACGATTTTTTGCATTTGCTCATAACTATATTTATATTTCTCGGAATGTTGCTGTGCTTCAAAATCGTTTTCACTTTCTGATGCATTATCATCCTCACCTTCAGCAATGTTGTCATTTTCACTTTCCGATATATCTTCGTCTTCACTTAAATCTAGTGTGTATTCGGTTTCAATTACTAAATTATGACTTGAAACAATTTCTTGGAAAAAGCTAATTAGTTGATTGACTTTTTCATTTTCGGTATCCGTTAATTTATCTTCTTCTTTCAAATTGTATTTTTGTTGGATCTTTCTAAAAAAATGATATGCTATAGTTACAGGATTCATGTTGTGGATGAATATTATTTGTGCACTATTGGTAACAAACTATATATATATACATAGCGAGAGAGAGAGAGAGAGAGAGAGAGAGAAATGCACCTGAATGCCCTGCACCCACATCATTGGCCTTTGACTTTTAACCTTTAACCTTTAACCTTTAACCTTTAACCTTTAACCTTTGACCTTTAACCTTTAACCTTTGACCTTCTATGATATTTAATATAAATTTTATTTGTGGAAAATTCATTCTTAAACCCACTATGGGCACGAATAATTATTATATCTGTTAATAACTCAATGAGCTCTACAGACTGGAATTACTAAAAGTTAAATAACGTTTGATCAGTTCTATGTGTTCCCTCGTCAGAATACTCAAACTCGATAGGAATCATTTCATGAGTCAAAGCGAAAAACATTTCGATGATGTATTACGACTCAATAAGGTGATTGTTTTTCTTTTTTCTTTCTCTATGACATATTCGTCTTCCATATATGCAGACACTAATCGAAGGACGTTGGTGTGGGTGTGCGTCTTCTCACCTTCAACTACACTCACAGACCCACACACACAATCCACACCCACGCTAACAAGCTTTTTTCAGGTTCATTTTAGCTATCATGATCGAGAAGAAGAATGAAATGAGTTTCAGGTCAAGAATGAGTCTATAGTACGATGGGGTTTGAACAAGAGTGTCAACAGGTCTTACTTGCGAACAGTGTAAATGCGAGACTATCAAAACTAACTATCTAATTTTAGATGATCTTGATCAAAAACAATTTAATACCATAAAAGATTTATATCAATGATGTACTTCATTTATTTTTAATACGGACATTTCGAAACGAGCTTCATCCTAAGTACATTAACAAATGTACAGCCCGACATTGATTTGATGACTAATGCACATGTGATCATTGACTAATATGGAAATTCCAACATAGAACACGCAATAACGTGACGTAGGTCACGTGGAGTGGGCGTCGATTTCTTTACCTTACGTGTATGACTCACTTCTTTCGATTCTGTTGCTATATAAATGTTGTTTTTTTTATCGGAACATGCTGCCTTTCATATTAATCGACCACATTTTAAATCACTCTTTTTATCTACGTCAATAGCTATATATTGTTGTGTAAGATTTTTAGTTGTAAATTCCTGAGAAGTTTCTGAAGAATCCCTAGGAATTTTCCAGATGATCATGCAGAAAGTTCTTAATGATTCTTTGGGAGTTCCTCAGAGGTTTTCTTTTTTTTTCTTGACTTCTCGTGGACTTCTCTAGGGAGAATGGGCTAAGGTAGCCAATAGAAATATTAATGATGGTGAATTATCATCAATACTAAGCGTTGAAAATTAGAAATATAAGTCGAGTGACTGACCCACCACTACTACAGAGTTTTGGAGAAAATTGTCAGCTGTTGCCACCGATGCCCAATATTGGACGTACCCAGGTCGACAAATTAGACAGTAAGATCTTATGTCCGATTTTTTGACCTGGGTATAGATTCCGACTATCGCCTGCGCTAGGACATATCGTCGCATGGATCATCCGTTACGAGTTTGTGAGCATGGTTGCGGGATGCCGATTGGAGTGCTAAGCTTTTGTGTTAGCTCACAAACACTCGAATCAATCTCAGTGATATATTCTCCTATAGTCACCCACATCCAAATCGTTTTTATTTTTATTTTTCGTTTGATATTCATGACGAACAAATGATGTATATTATCGATTGCATTCTTAGTCCACTTTTTCCAGAAAAATCTCCGAAGAGTTTTCCGAAAAATGTGAAATTCCTGGAGAGTTTCCTAAAAACATCCAGGGAGTCCCCCAAATGTTAGAAAGTAGGAAAACAGGAAAAAGCTCGCTGAAAGTTCCAAGAGAATTTATGAGGAAATGCAGAAATGCATTCTGCATTTTCTTACGCATCTATAAAAGTATATAAGAAAATCATGATTCAAAAAAGAAAAATAATTGTCTGTTTTAAAAATTACTTTTTGTTATAAGTGATAAAGATCATTAGAACTCATATCTGAGCCATCATAGCTGCAAGACTTAGACAGGAGATTCTCTTCAAAAATGACCGATTTTTGGAATAAAATAGATCTCGGTTGATGCAAATTCAACAACAAGTTAAATGATTGCGAAAAAAGTGAATAGACTCAATTTAGCGTCTATCAAGTCTTTAGAAATTTTCTGAGAAATATGTAAACTCCTCATGAAATCCTTGACAATTTGCTGGGGATCTTCTGTGGATTGTTCTGACGAAAACGGACAAAGGATAGAAAGAGCTCAACATTTGTAAGAATATATAGATGTAGGACAGAAACTCATCTAATTTGTTTCTTCAGATAAAAAAGAAATGCCGGTGGTAGATACTCGACTTTCGGCTTTATTAGAGCCGTTTATGGATGATTTGCACAGCTCAAACGAAGAAACGCGTCTCCAAGCAATAGACCAACTTTACGAACGTATTCTTGCTCAATATGCTGATGTAAGTGAGATCTACAAATTATAAAGAGAGATGTGTTAGGTTTTGTCTACTTATAAATGATATAAGCAAAAAAGGAAGTGTTGATTTTTCCATGCATTATACCCTTCCCTCCCCCTCCCTTCGCTGAAATTTTTTCTTTTGAGTATTTTTTTGTTCGGACTAAGGTGAAGATATGAGATCACTAAGCCATTCCTTAGACATTTTTAGTTTTAGCAAAAAAATCAATAATTTAGGAAAAGAATTATGTTTGAAAAATACTGATTCTTCTGTTAAATTATGATCTATATCTCATCTATAGTTGGATGAATAAGAACCAAAATTTCGCTACATATACAACTAATGATTCTCGACAAAATAAAAATAAAATCATCTCAGACAATTGCTTTGTTTACTTGTGCTGCAAGTCATTAAGAAATATTCTGTTATGCAATTTTTTTTGCAATCCAGCAGAAAGATTATTTAATCTATAGCTTTACAATGAGTTTGAGTTCAAAAGTGAAATTTTTAGCACAAATGCAGCTTTATATAGTCGACCAAATAGCAAAATAAAATTATGAGAAAACCATGGTTCTTTATATGGTGATTCAAACTTCTTGGAAAATGTAACAGAGCAGTATGGGCAGATAATTAGAAACTTTCTATTGTAGATCTATTTCAAGTGTCTCAAAAAGATAGATATTCTTCAAACGATTCGATTTCAGCAAACACGTCTGAGTGTCTGCTTTTGGTATATACGTGTATCTAGTTGAACTCTATCAAGAAAATGTGATGTGAAGGATGCAGGAATCCCCACATCTTCGTGTACTTGAAGACCATAAAGTGGCAATTTTACATGGACTATAGTCCCCCTCCCTTCCATTAGGTTTTCTTTGCTCTAACTGTCTTTTCTATGCGAGTGGTGTGATGATATGAAATAAAACAACCAGATATTGGACTTTTAAGTCTTCGAGAAACGATTATCATTTTTAGAATATGGTCACTTCCACGTAAAATACCTAAAAAACCGAGTAGTATTTCTAGACTTAGATTACCAATCATTGGTTTTTATTGGAAATAAGCATTATTCTCGAAATCATCATACAAAAATATACTTGAAATTCTATATTTCATTGAGAAAGACTTACAATCAAGTTTTATTCATAAATGGTTCAGTCCAAAGTTTTACGAATCGAAGCTGAGGGTAGTACAACGAAAATTTTAGTCAGAAGCATTTCCCAATGAAACATAGACTTTCTGATGCATATTTACGTGCTGATTCCAAAAATCATGCTTATTTCCAATAAAATGTTCTTTTTAGTGGTCAAAATCCAGAAAAATTAGCTGGATTTTCCGCAATTTTGCGTGAAATTAATCAAGTTCTAAGAACAATGATTTATTTTATTAACATTAGAAATGTCTAAGGCTTGAATCAGAATTTTTGATATCATGACACCACCCACGATACAAAAAAATATGAATCAAGCAACAAATATTAAGTGGGAGTAAACGAACCATCTTCTTTAATCGGTTTTTGCTATTTCTTGATTATATTATAAATCTTCTCTCTTCCGAAGTTCGAACCATCGCTGTAAGTACAATCGTTTTTTTTGCGACTTTATTTTGCTACTTGATAGACTATATAAAGCTGCATTTATGCTGAAAATTTCACTTTTGAACTCAAACTCATTGTAAAGTTATAGGTTAAATAATCTTTCTGCTGGATTGCAAAAAAAAATTGCATAACAGAATATTTCTTAATGACATGCAGCACAAGTAAACAAAACAATTTTCTGAGATGATTTTATTTTTATTTTGTCGAGAATCATTAGTTGTATATGTAGCGAAATATTGGTTCTTATTCTTTCAACTATAGATGAGATATAGATCATAATTTAACAGAAGAATCAGTATTTTTCAAACATAATTCTTTTCCTAAATTATTGATTTTTTTGCTAAAATTAATAACGTCCAAGAAATGACTTAGTGATCTCATCTTCACTTCGACTTCCTTTCATACAAAATTAAACTGATCACTGGCTTTGTTTTTTGTTATCGAATTTAAATAGAATAATCTGAGATGATTATAATAATAATACTATAAAATCTTAATAATAAAGCCATGGCAAAAGGCAAAAAGTTTTCGGACATTTTTCGTTCTATAAATAGTACCATTGGAAAGACCATCAAACATTGCATATAACAGATATGTTTTTTGTACAACGATCTTTTGCTGGAAAATGCTGGTGATCATTAAGAAGTTGTTAAAAAGCTACTGTAAAAGAGGAGAAATGATGCCTTTTGTTCGCTCATTTTGAAGAGCAGAATAACCCAGGAGGAAGAACCCGACAGTCGGATCCGATCTGATTCTCTGGAAAATCCGACAACTTCCGACAGGATCCTATCGGAAGTTGCCGGAATCCTTGTTACGGTAATCCGATCGGAAGTTGTCGGATCCGACGATTTCCAACAGTCGGATCCGATTGTCGGATACACTCAGAATCCGATGGAATCCTGCTGATTTTATTTATACACAAAAATAAAATAAAATTAAAATTAAAATAAATAAAACTAAATACAAAAAAATTAAATTAAATTAAAAGAAAAGAAAAAGAAAAGAAATAAAATAAATTAACATATATATAAAAAACAAAACAAAATAAAATGAAAACAGAATAAATTAAAATACAATAAAAATAAAATGCAATAGAATTAAAAAAATAAAAGTAAAATAAATGAATAATGTATCTATTTATATAGATACTTTCATAGCATCGGATTTCGTCGTATCCAGCAAGTTCCCGTTGTCGGATATAATCGGATCCTATTGTCGGATGTCGCCGGATCCTATCGTCGGAATCCGACATCGAAAATCGTCGGAAACTAACAGATAACGATGATTTCCGACAGTCGGATAGTTTCCGATCCGACAGGGTGATTTCGACCTGGGAAGTTCTACAAAACAAGACGCATTTCAAACTTTCTGACATAACAAGCAAATACATTAGATGATGGCGAAGAATAATAAGCTATTTCGTTGCTCCTTTCACGTAAAAATAGGTAAAATATTTCAAAATTTCAGATTCCGGTTTTGTTTCATATTGTAATATATTGTTTGATATGTTAGAGAGTTCGAAAAGCGTCTTATTTTGTAGAATTTCTTTTGCTGTTCAAAATGAGCGAACAAGAGACACAGTATCCCCTCTTTTACAGTAGGTTTTTAACAGTTTCTTAAAATGTTCATCAGTATTTTCCAACAAAAGATCGTTTTAAAGAAAACATTTATCTTCTATGATCTTGAAAATGAAAACATATCTATTATATGCAATTTTTATGGTCTTTCCAATGGTCCTATTTGAAATCGAAGAATAGTTAATTGATGAATAGAACGAAAAATGTCCGAGAACTTTTTGCCACTGAAAAATTTGTGTTTGATAGTATTTCGCTCCTGTGCAAGGATAATAACTCTTGGGCTCAATAATATATAAAAGCTTGATCAATAACAATGCTAAACATATGCTTAAAGTCGAAGTCAAGTTAAGTATAAAGTATTGGAAAGCTATCTTCGAGTGTCCCAGAACTTTTGACCAGGGCTATATTATTAAGATTTTTATTTGATTATGAAATAACCCCATGTTCGATTTGAAATTGTTCTAAAGTTTCTGTAGTATGAGCCGAAGAACAAAAGAAATACTTTAATAAGGAGCATACTATTTTTTTCGATTTTCTGCAATATTAGCATCTATATCTAAACATGAAATATCAATCGAATGAAAATAAAAGTAAGACTTACAATTAGATCTTCTGATTCCAAACAAATAATCTTATTAATCAATCTAGAACAGGTTTTTTAACTAGATATTACATGTGTTGTATTATAGAAATTATTAGTGGAAAAACTCTTCCTAAGTCTAATGAATCTTGCGGAAACCATATTGTCATTACTTTTGAATCATTTTAGATTATTTGTTGTTCCTACTAAAATTCACAACTAGAAATCTGCACGAACAAATCTATAATTTCTTAATTAGGTTTCGAGTAATATTTTTCGTTTTGATGCATAACTTTTTTTACAATATTGATAAAAGCTTTTTATTTTAATTTACATATTCAAAAGCTCAGCATCAGAACGACTTTCTGCTCAGAGCTATCACTAGTTCATACTTTTACAGAATATATCGAGCTACCGAATCTACCTCAAAACATGGACATTCTTTTTCCTTCTTTTAGATTACTATAAAGTGCAGTGTTGATCGGTAATATGTTCTGAATTCCCTCTGTATGACCCCATCATATATGAGTAGCTCTTTCTTATTTAACTAGCTGGACCTTTGTGCGAGTTGTATGGCTACTTTTGTAAGACTATTCTTTAACTAATATGAACTTGGATATGCATTTTCTCCTTTTCTGCAAGAAGTTATGCTCTCTCTGCTACCCATGCCCCGTGTGATATATTGTTGTCTCCGACCCTCAGTTCTATATGTTCAGTTCCATAGCTCCATGCATTAACTGAACTGTCGTATTAATAGATACATAGTTTAAACTTCAGTCATTCAATCAACTGATAGCTCTTATTCGTGAAATCTTGACCTTTAATTCGGTAATAGACGGACACTCGGCGTTGTATGCATATATGCATATACTAGCAAGAACCCGTGCATACCACACTGTTGATGATTAGACTCACTGGAAGCAAGATTTTACGAGGGCGAAGGAATAGTCATATATGTACTTAGAGTCCTTACACCTACTAATTTGACACAAGTTATTTGGATGAGTGTAGAGATGGAGTAAGGGTGTTGGATGCAGAGTGTGATATGAGTATTACTTCATGATCTTCCGCTCTTGACCTTAAATCTCCGACATGGATTCACACACTGAATATCATATATATACGTATATATACGGGTATGCCGTATTTAAATTAATTTAGTATAAAATTGATTGATGATATCATTAGAAAACAGAAACTAACATTGAATGGATAAAAATTCATAATTTTTTTTATTGCTTGTATAGGCTTCATCTGATGTGGTTACAAGTACTGCTGAACAATTACAAGATTTTATTCGAAAGAAAATTAGTGATCCTTATAATGTTAACGAAAATCGTGCAGCTCTTCTTGTTATTCGTATGTTTCCATAATTTCTTTTTCTTTATCTATATTTATTGCTTAGATAATCTATCTACATATAGATATGCATATATTTAGTTTGTTTTATTTGTGTTGGACAAAATTTCTACACTGAATTAAGTAATAAATTAGAACCAACATTACGCGGTTATAAACAAATGTCAGTTGATGCTAACTTATGTGAATTAGTAATCAAATTAACATGTATCCTTGTCAAAGTAATAACAAATTTATTTATTTATTTTAATAAAATAAAATTTAGGGTTGCGGTCGAATGAGTATTGATCAATTTTCACATGATGTTCCTAAAGCAATTGAACGTATATCACGTGATCAACAACATGAAACAAGACGTTATAGTGGTATAACTATTTTAAGAGAAATTGCTCTTGTTGCTCCATCACATTATTATCATTTAATAACACCTGTTGAACAATTTTTTGAACACCTTTTCGTTACCATCACAGATCCAAAAGTAGAGAGGCGAGAAGGTTTTCTTATTCGATATTAATGACTACTTCTTTTTTATTTATTTTTAAGAAATATATTCGTGAAGCATTTGCTGAAACCATGCATGCAACACTTATTGTTCTAATTGACCGAGAACAACAAAATAATAATAATACTGATATAACAACAGGAGAATATTTAATGAGTAGTAATATAAGTCATGCTATTAATGCTGAATGCAATACATTTATTAATGCATATAATGTTTGTTGAAGTTTTTTCGATGGAATTATTAAATATCTTAGATTTGTTTTTTTTCTTTGTTTATTTAGATGGTTTATACAGAAGCAATGAAATATTTAACAGTTGATACAACAAGTGAACAAAGAGAAGATCAAATTCATGGAGGACTTCTATTGCTTAACGAATTATTACGGGTGTCGGATGTAAAATTTGAAGTAAGATGGCTTTTTTTAAAAGAGAAATTATAGATACTATGTTTGTTAGCTTTTTTTAAGAATATTTATCAAGATTTAATTCATCCATATAATATACCGAAACCAAAACGAGTTTCATATAAAGTAAGAATAAGAAATTTCATTATTTCTGTTTTTATTCTATACATTGTCTCTTATGTGATTATTGATAAAAGACTTACGACTTTGGTTAATAAAATGAATTATTGATAACGATGATCCTGAATATGAACGAATATCGATAAAAAACTAATTATAAATCCTCAGACGAATTTATAGTAAATTCTAATGAATAAAAAAATTACTTTTCACTATAAAGTGCATCTTTCTGTTCTCTTTTTATACTATTATCATTTATGAGTTTACAGCATATTTTAGAAAGAATTCGATCATAGTAATGAACGAATAAAAGATCGTTGAAGGAGAAGTAATGAGAAACAAAACAATGCTACACTATACATGCACTTAAAGATGGAACTAATCTGACTAAATCAAGTCTCGATAGTAGGGAGGTGCAGGTTCACGTCTTTTATTTTTGTCGATATAGATTCACATTTTTGTGGACGACAGTTCCCTACGTGAGAGGGAACACAAAGAAAAAACTTTACGTTGATTTTTTTTCTGAAAGTAGTCAATAAATAGCCAAACTTCTGACCCTTCTCTTGCTCATGTATATAGAGTATCAGGTGTTGGTAGAAAAAAGTTCGGATTGGGGTCCAGAAGTTTGACTTTTTTTCGAGTTTTAATTCATAAAAACGTAGACTCTCAACTCTCTACCGATTGATCTAAAACTCGAGTGGAATCGGTATCAGTTCCATTTTTGAAACATCTATTACAGGCATATGGTCTTCAAGAATATAACTATTGAATTGATTATAAAACATTTTCAAATAGATAATATTATCTATAGTGATCATAATTTGCCCAAGAGAGAAAAAAGAATTGTGGTGTACTTCGATGAATTTTTCCAATGGTAAGGTAAAGCTCACTAGAATCTGAAATTGTTAATTATTACAAATATTAATATGTTAGTGGTTAGTTATCTTTGCTACTGCTCCATGCACTTATTATTTTCACATTTGTTTATTACTCAATTTTTTTTCTTCTTATCAATCATAACTTATATTTATATTGACAAGTTTTATTTGATTTAAATTTTTATGCTAATAATTAAAAACTTTCATATTTTAGAACATACATCGTGTTCGTGTTGCTTTAACATTTGAACGTCCTGTTCCATTATCTCCGATGGCTTTAATTGATAATTCTGAAAAATTTCAAATTCCAATTCAATCATCTATTATTTGCTCAATTGTGCTCGAAAATTTTCTTCATATCTGTAAACAAGTATTTCAATATTGTCAACATCCTAAGTCTATGATAACTAAGGTATTAATTCACATTTTACCTCGTTTAGCATCACTAAACTATAAATTATTCTCGCATCATTCATATGTTGATGCAACAATGAATTTTATATTTGAACGTATTGAATCTCGTGAATTAAAAGAACGTCAATTAGCATTTCATGCATTAGGTTTAATGATTTTAATTGATAAAACAAACCGAATAAATGATATATCATTAACAAACTATATGACAAAAATATTAGATTGTTTAAAACAAACATTTATTTCAATATCTTCAACACATTCACATTATCAGAATAGTTTATTATCATGTCCATATGCATCACCTGATTCAAGTGTGTTTGCATGCATAACAATGATTGGTGAAACTGGACCAGATACATCAACATGTTTAGATAGTTTATTAGAATATTTTTTACATTGTGGTTTAAATCATTCATTATTAGATTGTTTAAATAAATTATGTTCCATGCCATTAATACATACCGATACAAAACGTAAAATTCATCAAGGTTTATTAGAAAATTTATGTTCGATTTTATGTAATACATTATCATATAATGGAAATTTAACCAATGAACAAAATGATATTATTATAATTGCATTACAAACATTAAGAATATTTGACTTTGAAATACAAGCTATTGAACCACTTTTTATTCAAATATTAAATACATATTTTATTCAACATAATATTGTACGTATAAGAATTGAATCAATTATAACAATAACACATTTATTGCGAAAATTATTATTATCGACATCACACACAATACTATCATCAAATGTAGCATTATCATTGACAGGAGTTAATAAATTACGAATTAAAATTGGTCATATAATACAAAGAATATTAACTATTGGTGTAACTGATTTAGATTCTGATGTACGTTATAATGTATTTTTAACATTACAAGATGATTTTAAAGAATTTTTAGTCAAATCAGAAGCATTGGAATTATTATTTTTTTCTGTACATGATGAATGTCATGAAATAAGAGAATTAGCATTGGGTCTTATTGGACGTTTATCAAATATAAATCCAGCTTATGTTTTACCGCCATTAAGACATTTATTATTACAATTATTTACAGAATTAGAATTTGGTTGTTCATTAAATGGAAAAGAACAAGCATCAAGATTATTAGGACAATTAATTGCAAATACACCAAGAATTGCTAAGCAATATATGCAATCAATTATACAAGTATGATTTTTCAAGTTATTCTTTTTTTTGCTTTTCTAAAGATTAAGTTGTACAGTGAAGTTTGTATAGAATGAAAAGCATAAAAGTGATAATCTCTGTGTTTTTAATGATCATTCGATTCTAATTTGTCTTGTATGCAAACATAAATAATTTAAAAATAGTATCTTCGAATTACGCCGAATCGAATAAAATTCTGCTCATTTTTATTTGATGTGAAAACTACTGATAATCTTAAGCAAAGATCTATGTGAAAAGACGTCGAATTTTCTAAATAAAAAAAATGAATCTGTTTCGTCAATATGTATTTCTCGTCAAAGACTGTGACAGACATCCGGGACTCCGCCACAAACTCTGTTAACATACGATCAAAGGCCACATATCACTAACATCTCGTTAAAATGTCTCATGTAAAAGGTGAAAAATCTGATTAAAACCTGTTTTTCAAAAGAAAATCACGAAAAATCGATTAGATTTTTAATCAAGTATACTACGATTCCGTTGAAAAACATCGATTTTAATCGATTACTGATGAAACTACGCCATCTCAGGAAATGTATACCAAAATAAATCGAATAAAACAATTTTCCTGTGGTTAGAAATAAAGGCTAAATCATGTTTCACATTGTAATGCCGTCAGATTGCGTTCACACAGAAAAAAATCGATGATCTATTAAGTGAATTTTATCGGTATCAACAAACTTGAATAGATACAAAACACAATATATATGTGTCAAAGGAATATGACTATTTCCTATGTCTAGATGTTTTTTGGATTTACACACCGGATGAATTTTCTATTGTCGTAGTAAGATATGAAAAGAAAAGAAAATTATAAAGTTTTAAGATTTATGAATTTTGCTATATTCTCAAGAATTAATTTTCATGATCATTTCCACACACTAAAAATTGCACGCTATTTGTTCGATTTCAATTCGATTGAACTCACAAATAAGTTATTAGTAAATCTTATAGAGAAACTGAATATATAAGTTTCTTGATTTGCTTTCAATGCCATTTAAAACAGACAAAAAAAAAACTGTCAGTTGACTATCTTTTGAACGCCATTCTACACGGTAGATCTGATAGTTGTTCTCCAAGCGGCAACGGTTCTAACCAACGAATAATATAAATGAAGTGAAAAAATTCCGTACTTGCTCTTTACTAATGTTTCAAAATAATTGAACTAGTTTGCTTTTCGAATCTTTAATCTATGCATTTATGTCTGATGCTTTTTACTTTGATTTTGAAAACTGTAAATTATACATAAAGTGATCATTCGATTTTGGTTTTAAGGAATTTTCATATGTTTTCCCATTACTCAGTTATCGAAATAATTATCTAATGCAAGTATCTACAGATCAATTTTTCATCGACACTGTCAAGTTTAAACATGTGCAAAATGAAATCGTGTTTGGCTCCGATTTCGGCAGCTTCTTTCCTAGTAGTTCTGATCACGAGAATTTTATTTTTTCAGGTCTCTGTTTCTATCTGGAGAAAACTATTTCAGAATTTATTTATACCACATCTAAAACAAGTCTTCCATATTCGCTTTTGAATTTATTTAATCGAAGATTACCATTCTCTCTCTCTTGTAGGTCACCTTTCTTATCATATAATTTGCTTAAAACCTTAAAATATTTTACTATAAACTTGAGTTTGGATTGCAGCAAATTGTTCTTACATCATTCTGCACATATCTAGTCAATGGTCATACATTTTACTCTAAAAGACGAATATACAATATCCTTTAATTCTAGGTTCTATTACCATTAATAAAACAACATGAACAACATGCCAATGTTCTCATTGCCTTAGTACGAACAGTTGGTGAACAAGTTCAAGTTTGTGGTATTGATCGAGATCAATGCATATATGATCTATTTCCTATTCTAATAAATATGATGCAAGATACATTAAATTATCGTAAACGTGAAGTTGCACTATGGACAGTTGGTCAAATTATTGAAAATTATTGTTATGTTATTGAACCATTAGAAAAATATCCTATTTTACTTGATGTTCTTTTACAATTTTTAAAATCTCCTGAAGAAATGCCATTTCGTCGTGAAACAATACGTGTTCTTGGATTTCTTGGTGCTATTGATCCATATCGTGTTCGTTCAAAAAATGATCCATTATATTCATTATCATTTGATTTAAATAATATAACATCAATACATCGTATTCGTTCACAACAAGATCCAATTGAAATATCTTCAAATGAACTTTTAATTGCATCTGGTACTCAGCCATTACATGATTTTTATACTTCAGTAGCAATCTATGCTTGCCTTCGTGTATTAAAAGATGCTAATAGTCCACAGTTACATTTAAAAGCTGTACAAGGTATAGCACTTATACTTCGATGGCTTGGAAATTCATGTACACCGTATGTGTCACTTATATTACCATATTTATTATCTGATATACGTAGTACAGATGAGAGAAATTTAATACCATATTTTCATCAAATCAATCTAATAATAATATCAATAAAAGGTTTAATAATTCAATATGTTAATGATGTTATAGAATTGATTGGTGATTATTGGGATGCCTATACAGACTTACAAATCTTACTTATACAAACAATTGAATCATTATCTATTGCATTAGACAATATGTTTCATAATTATATACATTTATTATTACCATTTATCATGAAAATATTTCATAGTTATAGAAATCTATTAAGTTTAAATAGTTTAACAATAAATAGAAATCAAGATCAACAATTAATATTATCAAAAATATTTTCAACATTAATTAAATTTGGTAAAACATTAAAACCACATTTTAATGTTATTTTGTCATCAATATTAGATATAGCATCAACAAATGCATGTCCATTAATATTAAGAGAAGAAGCATTAGATACAATTGAACAATTAGCTGATAAAGTTATTTTAAGTGATTATATATCAAGTATATTACAAATTTTATTAAGAATTATGCATACAACACCACAATTACAAATAAAATGTTTAGATATAATATTAATTATAGCACAACAAATGGGTAAACGTTTTCTTATATTTAGTTCACTTGTATCAAAAATAATCGATGATATGAAATTACAACATTCTGCATATGAATTATATATATTGAAATTAAAAGATCCATCATTTGTTAATGTAAAAACAGAAACAATTTTTAATTCAAATTTAAATTTAAATCAAACATTAAATGAACCAACACGAAAACGTAATGATAAAGTTTTTTATACAATGCGTACTGAACAATTAAGACAACATTGGTCACAAACTATGAAAGGAGATCCAAAAGATTTATCAATATGGTTAAATAAATTTCAACAACTTGTTTTAGAACAATCACTTGCTTATCCATTACGTGCGATGGGTACTTGTTTAATACAAATATTACCATCAATTCCACGTGATTTATTTAATGTATCATTTATGTCATGCTGGAGTGAATTAAATTCTCATGATAGACAAAGTTTAACAAATGTATTAACCTATGTTTTATCTGTATGTGATAAACCAGATATTATACAAACAATATTAAATTTAGTTGAATTTCATAATCATTGTGATTTAAAATTAAAATTAGAACGACAACAAAAAACAAATGGATGCAATGAAAATTTAAATAAAAATGATACAAATGATCATATTCACAATAATAAGGACAAAGTGAAAATGAAAGATACGAATTGTGATAATAGCAATAATAATGATAATGATGATAATATTGAACGATCATTAATTAATATACATTTATTAAGCGAAAAAGCAATTAGTGTGAGAGCTTATGCTAAAGCCTTGAGATATAAAGAAGAAGAATTTCAAAGACAACATGATTCAGCATCGATAACTCAAACATCTATCACATCCGATATAATTGAATCATTAATCAGTATTAATCATGAATTGCAACAATCTGAAGCTGCTTATGGTGCATTACAATATGCTAAACATCATAATATTAAAGTTAAAAGTTTTTGGTATGAAAAATTAAATCAATGGGAACGAGCATTAAAGAATTATGATTTTCCTACAATAAATGATCTATCTAATATAGATATACATTTAGGACGTATGAGATGCATGCAAGCACTTGGTTCATGGAATGAATTAAGAGATTTAGCATCTCAAATATGGCAATTAACCGAACAAATTAGTAATGAAGAACAGTTATCGATGTTACCATTTACATCAAGTTTAGTTGATATGTATTCTTCATCAACATCATTTAATTTTAATCAAGATATTATTAATGGTCTTGAATTAAAAAAGAATCTTCAACAAAAAATTGCACCTATGGCAACACGTGCAGCATGGAGTCTTGGTGATATGGTTGACATGGAAAAATATTATATTCATATACCAAATACAAAATTTGAAGGAGCTTATTATCGTGCTGTTGATGCTATTAGAAAAGATAATTATAGACAAACACAAGATTCAATTGATTTAGCAAGAGAATTATTAGATGGTGAATTAACAATATTAGCTAATGAAAGTGATAATAGAGCTTATTCAGGTAATTAACATACAACGAACAAAACGAGATTACATTTAAAGCATAAAGACTTGTAATAATATGCAGAGGTTGAATGTCTGTTAGAGTCCATCGAGTTTGGGTCCAATAGACTCTACTATTTGTACTGCTGAAAAATAGTTAATACACAAGAGTAAATAAGTTCATCTAGAAATCAGATTGGACTATGGATGTGAAAGTCTTGATATAGTAATTATTTTCCATAGTGATATATGGAAGCAAAGGTGCAAGAATACTAATTTTCACTGACTACAATTAATCATCAAGAAAAAAACGTTCGATTTACTGGGTAAAATTTTTGAGTATCCGAATCTTTCGTACACTTTTTTTAACAAATAGAAGTACTCATTTCAATATTTGATATGGCTAATTAAAGCTAAAAGCATAAACAGCAATGGCGTAGCCAGACTGATACTACATGGAACTCAGTTCTTTCTGGAGGCGTGATCAAAGGAAACTTCATTCTCTCTATACACATCAACAGAGAGCCTAATCCACTCTACAACTTTTTTTCTGGCTACGTCACTTACAAGCAGGCAAATAGTTCTATCGAGTTAATGCTGCGGTACGTCAGTGAATTACAGTTCCAGTATTATAGTGCGGATACTGATACTTAGGCATCTCTAGAGGTGACTCAATTGAGATGAAACTCAAATTAAGAGGAAATAATAGATTTCAAGACTCATAGAGCTTACTATTTTTCTCTTCATGCAAATTTAACTGTAAAAATTTTCGGTTCGATGCGAAGAGAAAACAGTAGAGTCATCACTCTTGAAATCTACTGTTTCTCCCTTGCCGAATGTAACAAAGTCGATAAAACAATCCATAAGTTGTCCAATTTGAATTTAAATGAAGTTCTAAGAGCATAGTGTCACTTCGAAAATAACTGACAAAAGTTTGAATCCACACTGAACTCAATAAAAAGCCAAGAAGGTAAAGATAAAATTTTTATCTGAGCTATAATTACTTTCCCGACAACATCTTTAGCGTAATGATTAATGTTTTAAAACTTTCATTGAGGTTCTTAATATATCAAGAGTATAATCTTAAATTTGTTACTTGTGAAAAAATGTTTTTGATCCCGTAAGTAGCCTTCTACATCGTCATTAAAACATGAAAACGCGTACGTGTCCTCCGGAAGAGGCACTACACATGCTCATCTCTGTGGACATAGCAATAATAATGTTTCTCTGATGATCCGAGTGATTTAAATAGAACCAGCGCAATGCCTATTCGAATTATAATTGTAAGTCAGATAAAAGTTTTATTTTTGCCTGTAGCTAACGTAGTACCAATGAAATTTGAGATATTCTCGAACCTCAACTAGGCATCTACTCAAACAGTCATATCAAATTACATATATTCGTATTTACATTGACAAACGTACTAATAAATCGATATCAAATGATATCTCAGTCATTCTTTGTTGATTTTTTTTATAAGTTAATTAATAATACGAATAATCAAAATTTTACAAATTCAGTTTTCATTCATATTGATGAAAGTTCACTAAGTTCTCATTAAATATAAATAATACTTGTCAATTACTTTTTTGATAGAAAAAAAAAAGAAATGTGATTATCATCTATGGAATTCCTCAGTCCTTTTTTTGTAATGGTTTATAAAAATTTCTCAAGTCCCACTTATCAATATCCAGCTTGTTAGGTCTAAGATTACTCAAAGAAAAAACAACATTTCTCTAGGCATATAAACATAATTTTCTGTATGTTTAGCTATGATGAATGCACAACTTTTATCTGAATTAGAAGAAGTATGGTATTATAAATTATTACCTGAACGACGTCAATCTATATGTGAAATTTGGCAAAAACGTATGGAAGGTAATCAACCAATTATTGATGATTATCATCGTCTATTATTAATACATTCACTTTGTTTACCAATGACACAAGATTTTAAATCATGGATTAAATTAGCTAATCTTTGTCGTAAATCAAATCGCTTAATAATGGCTGATTTTATATTTAAAGAACTAACACACGCAGTTTTAAATGAACATACAAATTCTAATCATCAAGCGATAGCAGTACCAGTGCTTTCATCACAATCTCAACAAACATGTTATCATTCATCATTAATTGATCAACAATTAGTTAAATATGAAAAAGCTAAATATGATTGGTATTGTTTAGTTGCAACACGTGAGCGTCTTTTACTTGAAAGTCAAAGTGTTGAACAAGTTTTAAATAATGAAAATAATCCACAAAATGATATTATTAGTTACAATATACCAACATTAGCATCACCAAAAAAAGAAAATATTGAAAATACAAATATTAAACTGGAACAAAATCATAAAGAACAATTAAAATTAATTGAAGATATGAAAGAAATGATTATTAAAACATGTCTACCAGCTTTAGATCATTTAAGAAAACAAACAACAACTTCAATTGGAAATGCGCAACAAGAAACGATGATAGCAACAAGTGATAGAGCAACACCAGCTGCTTCAGGGAATACATTAGTTGAAACAACACAAAATATTAATACAATACCACACGTATCTGTAAGTTTTTATTTAAGCAGACTCTTTTTTTTTCTTTTTTGTTAATTAAACATCAAGAACAACATTTCTATGTGAGTACTCTGATTTTGAACAGTGGAGACTTATTTCTGGCCCTGTGAGTAATAACAACCTCCGTAATGGGAACGGCATATGTCAGCTCCCAAAATTATTTCTTCAGATTTATTTTCAATGCTTTTTCACCGCCGTAAACACTAATAAGAAATCAAATAGTGAGTTGTGTAGAGCATTTTATTTACAACGAAGATTGCTGAAGATGAAATTGATTGTTAGTATTCCAAGAATCAAGTTTTCCAGTTCTTGGAATTTTCAAAAAGGAATTCTGTTTGAATTAGTCAGAACGATAGAGCTAACAATTAGCGGCAAGATGATAGATCTTTCAATGCCGTATGAGGTTTGTTTGAATTAGATACGTGAATTTTACAAAAGGCACCGAAGTTGTTTTTTTCTACTATTACGTATGATGAAGAGAACTATTTGCTTTACAGTTCTAGGTAATTCAAAAAGAATTCTATTTTCAAACTTTACGAGCTAAAAAAACTTTGTTTTTGATCTTTCAGAGATTCTACACTTGGAAAACCTAGTAGTCATTTTCATCTTCGAAAATTCTTGTTAGGTATAAAGTTTTCTACAACAGCCACTCTTCGATTCTTATTAACGATTACGGTAATAGAAGCAAAATGAAAAATACGATCTGATCAAATAATTTTGAGAGTCTCTGTATGTTTTATTAGCCACGTGGAAAATTATGTTGCGTCTATTTGAGTTATGATAAATAATTATGAGAGGTATAAGAAAAGCGAATAAACTAGTTGTAGATATTTAAAAGAAAAAAGAAGCAATATTAGACAACACCTACAACAGTACTTAGTGTATCACTTTCTTTGTCTTCGAGCTAACAACTAATAAAATCAAATGATGTCAACTCGTGTTGATTTATCTCTGATTAGCTAATAATGAGAAAGAAAGGAAACAAAGTCACCGTGTGTAGTGGAAAAGCGATTGCAACCGAATACTCATAAGTTACCAGAAACAAGAAACTGTAAACCATCCAATCATGAACAACTCTGTAAAGTGCGCACTTTTGACAGGTTTCGATAATGTCTACATGAGAGAAGTTTTACTATATTCAAGACAAGACCAAAATTCATAATATCTTTTTTTCGTTTCACTTCCATTAGTCGTTCCGTGTAACAACTACAAATGCAACATTATCTAGTTTATCAACATCATTTCCAACAGTTAATCAACAAGAACAATGTTTTCGTCAATTAATATCAAAATGTTATTTAAGAATAGGAACATGGCAACATGAATTATTCGGTTTAACAAATGATAGTATATTAGCTGAAATAATGAAAAATTATGAATATGCTTGGACATATGATGATTCAAATTATAAAGCACAGAATGCTTATGCTATACTTAATTATGATGCTGTTAGTTATTTTAAACAACGTATAGAAGATGCATCACGTAATAGTCAACAACAACAAGCTCCATCATCTTCATCAACACCTGCTACTAATTCTTTAGCATCATCACCTCGATCACAACAACAAGAACAAAATCTCGATGAATTCAACGATGCTTGTCGAATGTTAGCTTCAAAAATGATACATTGTACAATATCAGCTGTAAAAAGTTTATGTAAATCCGTTGTGCTTTCAAAAGCTAAACGTTGTTTACAAAATACTCTTCGGTTATTAACACTTTGGTTTGAATATGGACAATATCAAGAAGTATATGAAGCAATAACAGAAGGTATTCGAACAGTACCTGTTGAAGTTTGGTTACATGTATTACCTCAATTAATTGCACACATTGATTCTCCAAAATTATTAGCTCATCAATTAATGCATCACTTACTTATTGATGTTGGTCGACAACATCCACAAGCATTAATTTATCCATTAGTTGTTGCATCAAAATCAGTTGTTTGTGACCGTCAATTTGCAGCTAATCGTGTTTTAAATAATATGAGAGAGCATAGTCATACACTTGTACATCAAGCTTTAGTTGTTAGTGAAGAATTAATTCGAATATCTGTCTTATGGCATGAAACATGGCATAAAGGTTTACAAGAGGCATTAGTACAATATTTTGTAAATAAAAGTATACAAGGTATTTATAAAAGTATTTTTAATCTATTTTATATCTTTATTAAAAGAAAAGTATCTTAAAATGATATCTTTAGTTATTATTTATTTTATCTGAAATAATAATAACTTTCATGGATTTTTCAAAACAAAAAAAAAACATTTTTTTTTCAGTGGGCTTTCGCAGTTGAATTTATCTTTATGTTAAATTTTGTAACATACGGTAAAAGAAGAACTAATAGGAGAAAAAAAAGAATAAAAATTTTAAAAAGTATTAATAAATCTTGTCAGTGTATGCGCTCCGAAATTTTCTCGTTTCGACAATGTTCACATTTAGAACTACTATATATATGTTTTCAATCCATATAACTTTTCCTATATAATAATGCATGCATTAGAAAGTGTTGAATTTCATTTCGTTCGTTCAACGACCACATTAGCCTGTCGTACACATTGATATCATTCTTCAGTACGTTTCTAAGTACATAATCCTATTCCACTCTGCTAAATCAAGAAAACTACCATCCTACTGACTGACGTCGACAATAAAATCATTTCATTGCATTAAATACCCAATCCCACAATATTTAAATTTTGAGAAACGCTTACACGTAGACAAATGGTTCACAATGTTAATGAATTCGAAACAAGAACTAAAACTAAGACAATTGAGCTTCTTCATGTTTAATTTTACATTCAACAAAATGTTTATTAACCATTGAGTGAGTCGTAGTATAACATAAGGTTATTTCAAACTTAGAGATTATGATAGAGACATTTGAAAACAACATTGATTCCACTCATGCCTAAAGTCGTTGAATTCTTCGGCAAAAAATAAATTTATATTAACTAAAACAAATTTTGAAAAGCGTTTTTCCCTATGATCATTCTTGTCTTCATTTATTTATAAGAATTTCTCATTACCATAAATCATTTTTTCTGCAATTATATGTTTTTAATTTTTCATAAACTTTAATCCATGATTATTTGTCTTTATATAAGGTATGATTGAAATATTAGAACCATTACATGAAACAATTGAACATGGAAGTACAACTCAAAATGAAAGTACATTTCTTGATTCATATAGTAATGATTTGACTCAAGCCCATGTATATATTCGTCGTTTTAAACAAACAAAAGATCCAAATCAACTAAATCAAGCAGTACATCTTTATCATCAAGTATTTATACGTATTCGTGATAAATTATCAAGTATAACATCTCTTGAATTAGATCATGTTTCTCCACGTAAGAAATTTTTTTAATGAATACCTGAAAATAAATGCACTTATAAGTATTTTTCATAATATTTGCGATCAATAGTTATTAACAAGTCGTAATCTTGATTTTTTTTAAGATTCAAAATATAATGTTTAACAAGAATGTATCACAAATTTCACTATAAACTGTTAAGCGAAGTAGTACAATGAGAGTACAACATGTTCGATTTCCACGCATAAAATTTGTTAGAAATTTGAACTAACGAAAAAAAAATCGATAACAAGTTTGTGCAGCTTGAAATTTTTTATCTCTTGGCCATATATTAGTAAAGGTTTTCTATTAAAACTTACCATGTAGATAAACTATTCTTTTTTTCTATATTTTACAGAAATAATTTTGTTTTTGAATCAATAACGTTGATGCTCTCAGAAAAACTTGCACAAATTGAATAAAAGTATCAGTCAATATAAATCAGCTTTGTTTCAATTACAAGAGAAATGAATGGGACATCAAACTGAAATACCACAATTTGAACAAAACTCTTTATTAGGATAGATTGCGTAAAAATAAAAGAAAGTTTTACGTGTTTTCAGCAGTTTTGATAAGACAATATTGGAATAAAAATCTTTGATTATTGTGAACTTCATTCAACATCATGAAAAAGAACACACCTTGTTGTACTTCTTGAACATACTTTGTTGTGTTACTATATACATTCATACAAAATTAGACAACAAGACTGAATTGTTTAGGAAAACACATTTTGCAACTTACTAAGTGTATCATAACCATGCAGTATTATTTTTCAGCTTAAACATTTTTGTAGTGAAACTTGAAATGCATTCTTATAGAGAATTTGTATTTTGAATCTTTTTTAAAATGTTGAAAAAAATACTTAGATGAACATTTATTCTGACGCATCAGTTCGACGAATGAAAAAAAAACTTATATTTTAATTTATAGGTTTAGCAACTAATTTTCATGACTTAGAATTAGCTGTTCCAGGTACTTATGAACCACATAAACCACCAATAACAATTCGAAATGTTCAATCATATATAACAGTTTTAACATCAAAACAACGACCAAGAAAAATTAGTATAAGAGCTTCGGATGGATATGAATATGTATTTCTACTTAAAGGACATGAAGATTTACGACAGGATGAACGTGTTATGCAATTATTTGGTTTAGTAAATGAATTTTTATCAGCTAACGATGAAACACGTCGTCGAAATTTTATTATTCAGCGTTATCCAGTTATACCATTAGCACCAAATACTGGTTTACTTGGTTGGGTGACACAATGTGATACAATTTATGCATTAATAAAAGGAAATCGTGAAAAAACATATATTAAGTTCGATGCTGAACTTCGTTATCTGCTCGAAAAAGCTCCAGATTATAATCAATTACCTTTACTAAATAAAGTTGAAATATTTGAAAATACATTAAATTTCTTCGAAGGTGACGACTTAGCTAAAATTTTATGGCATAAAAGTTCAAATGCAGAAATATGGTTAGATAGAAGATCAAATTATACAAGATCATTAGCAGTTATGTCTATGGTAAGAGCAAACCTTAGTTGTTTTCTTTTTAATTTGAAATTCATGACGAAAATGAATTACAAAATAATTCAAAACTAATGTTTCATAAAAGAGAATTATTGAAAGAATCTGCCGTGAACTACCAAGAACTAGGATCTTCCACTGTTTGACAAGGGTGAGAATGTACCTACACTCTCCATTACAGTCCCTTGTTATCCCTAGTAGTTTTGTTTCAAATTATTTTATAATTTATATATGTAATCCAGTGTTAAACTTAAATATTATCCTTTTTTAGGTTGGCTACGTTTTAGGCTTAGGTGATCGTCATCCATCAAATTTAATGCTTGATCGTGCAAGTGGAAAAGTTGTTCATATAGATTTTGGTGATTGTTTTGAAGTCGCTATGATACGAGAAAAATTTCCTGAAAAAATTCCCTTTCGTTTAACACGTATGCTACGTAAAGCGATGGAAGTAACTGGTATTGATGGAACATTTCGTATGACATGTGAACATGTGATGGATGTATTAAGAAACAATCGTGATAGTCTTATGGCTGTATTAGAAGCATTTGTATATGATCCATTACTTAATTGGCATTTATTAGAACATAATGATAATGACCAAAATGCTACTCTATCAACAACAAGTAATCGTTTTTCACAAATAGATAAAAAACAATATTACCAATCACATTTGTCAACAATTAATGAAGACGATAATGAACACAAAAGCACAATTAGTGGAAAAATACAGCAACAACACGTACAAGAATCAGGTCGAACAATACGAGCAGATGAAATAATGAATCGTGTACGAGAAAAATTATCTGGAAACGATTTTCATCGTGAACAACCTGTTGATATACCAACACAAGTTGAATTACTTATTCAGCAAGCAACCAATCATGAAAATCTTTGCCAGTATATTTTTTATTATTGATTTTACTTTGTTTATTTTTTCCCTTTTAGATTGTATATTGGTTGGTGTCCATTTTGGTAAATTATAATATGTATTTATTTTTGCTTTCTTCTCAGTGAGCTTTCGATATTATGTACAGTTTTACCTGTAGATATATGCATATAAATATGTTTTACTACACCAGAATAAAAATTGTTTAAATCGAATTATTTTATTTAAATTTATTTTACTTTTGATTTATATATTTGTTTTAGCAAGACTATTTAGTATGTTTCTGTTGAGCGACTAAAAAACCTCGATGATGAAAGGTAAAATGCTTTATTATTTTATGCTGTTTTTATCGATGCACACAGAGGGCCTCCAGCTCCATCACGGACCATGAGAGATGGACTTCAAAGACAATTACAAACTATGGCAAAAGTTTTTGATAGACGATTAGCGATTATATATAGGGTGTCCTATAAGTAGTACTACGATAAAACATTCAAATATCTCCACTCCCGTTCAAAGTTTTATCGCAACCAGAAAAATCAACCCATTTGATTTAACCGGAGTGGAGATATTTGAATTTTTTCTCATAGTACTACTTATGGGACACCCTGTATCACCAGCATCATTTCACGAGAATATAAGAGCTGTTTCCTTTTTGTAGTTCTGGACAATTAAGTACAAGACAGTGAAAAAATGGGTTCCAAAATAGATCGAATGAAACACTACTTTCACCATTACTAATAACAGTTCCATCGTGCTTGAGAATGGATGTGAGTGCGAGGTGTTGGTATCTTCATCCACATCCCAACGCAACACCTACATCATTCTTAAGCTGGGCAGTGGGACTTGGCTTGCTTGGAGATTAACTTGGATATCCGTATTGTCCTTTTGTTGTTTATAAGTTTCTACAATTTATTTGAGATGCTAGGGATACAAATAGTGTTTTTGACATGCGTATTCATTCCGCTGAAAATGCACTATTTGCTCGTCCTGAATTACCTGGTTATCGTCTAATTTGCAGCGCATATGTATATTCTTTATTGTTGTCTTGCTTTTCTCGAAAAAAAGTTAGAATCTAATATTCGTGTTGGTCACGGTGTTGTGTTTGATAAATTGTTATCTATCAAAAATTATAAGTTTCGTAAATCTAATGTACTTGTCACAGAAATACAGGAAAATGCCTAGAAACTATTCCCATCGATTCCTTTTGAAATGAATATAACTAGTCATTTTTATTTTCTTGGTGACGCTATTAGCAATGTAGAAGAGGCAAAACCCTTATCTTTTCTGTACAACATTGACGTTCCAGTCGTTCTATCGACTTATGATGAGGGAATATAGCCCATTGACAGGTGTTCACTGGAATATCAGGCGCATCATTCATTAGCAGCAGAGTATTGTCGTGCGATTACTCCATGCTTTATCACGGGAAGAGATCAATTAAAAGAAATGATTAAAAATTTGAAGCATTTCTACTTTTCGAAGAAAGAGCTTTACCCAGAACGGAGTCCTCGAGAAAGAAAATCTATATAGACACCAACTTTTCTAGAAAAAAACTTTCAAATATAGATTCATGTCATTGCTTGAAATATTATAAAAATAAATACAAAGCAACCACGACCTCTAAATTTGGGATAATGATCATAAATAGGAATGGTTTTGTAAGAATATCGAACCTGGGGGTAGGGGCTTGCTTTTATTTAACGCGTTTGTTGGCTTTTGAACAATTTGAAGTCGAGTATGAAGTATTGTTTGGACCTTCCTGATGTAAAAGACGGTATAGAGCTTGCGAAAACGTATATTATCAACTAATAAACGATACACCTGATCAAGGTGAATGCATCCAAGTAGGAGTTGATGGAGAAGAATATTTGTTTTGCTCTGAAACACCGAACAATCGTAAAAGTGCATTTGATTTCTTACTGAACATTATACACAAATTTACCATCAGAGGTACTAAGAAAGGCACAAAATTCAGTTTTCTTTCAACTATCGATTTTGATGATCCACAACTAAGAAAGGATCTTGAAGATCTTGACAAAAAAAATCATGAATAAAGAAATCAAAGTTTTTATCCATACCAACACAGAAAAACATTCAACTTTTCCAGGTCTTAGAATTGGAAAACTATTTATTAATAATAAACCTGAACAACACACCGGCCCAAAACAAGAAAAACTTGAATGCGCACTGTATGCTGTTTGTCCACATGATAGTGTAGGCACTACCGCCTCACAATTTATTGCAAAACACATCCATAAAAAGTCTTTTTTTATCGAAACACCACATATGCATCTTCTCTCCTTTATTATTCCTTTTTTTACCATAGTTCTTTTTGGCTATCCAACTACTCGAAAGCAGATCAACAAAAATCTATATGTAGAATGTTTTCTACAACGTTATAGTGTGAATAACACAAATTTAGCAAAGACAATTCAAGTTAAACAGAGTTAAATATGTAGAACATTATATGACTCAAAATATAATTTACTTTGTTCCGATGTTAGATATGCCAAACAGATAGAGACAAAATATTTAATTGAGAAAATATGCGACTCTGAAGATAAGTTTCTTGAAATTCTAAAAATATTATGTAAATCAATAAATTATATCATCAAGATTTTTAATGATTGCGATAGAATTACAGTTCCTATAATTCAACTCCGAAAACAATTTCTCATTTGCAGTAGTACAGAAATGTTGTAAAAATAATCCATACAAGTACCCATTTTGTAAGTGAATCAAATCTATTGTGAAGATTGACAGGCAAGCTCTTAAGAAAAAATTTGGTCAGAACACTTGGAAAAACGTTTTAACATTAAAACTTTGGCTTATGTTCAATAAATTGAGCAGTAAAATTCATGGACTTTTAGTTTTTTTTCAGCAACAGAGAAATAATAGCAGTTTAATTATGGCAAATAGGAGAAAAATTTTTCCAAAATGAATATTTTTCTATATAGTTTGATGCAGCAGGCATAGCTTATATAATCGACGTGTGTAAATCTTCTTCTTTTCTACTCATGAGGGTGGGTGTGGGTGAAAGTAGCATTCACAGGCACATCCAGTCCCACACCCACATATTTAGTGAAAATGTGTCAACCGTTAGCATCAGTTAAGAGTTTACTTTGGATACGATTTGCTCTTCATGGTAATCCAAATATGCCCTTGGATGCTGAAGGAACTAATTCATTAATAACTCAATTAAGTCAGCATGGTGGCTGGTCAAGACATTCGCCAAATACTGCGGCTGATCTTTCCTCGTATTTAACTTTCGCTAATCAAACATTGAGAAATAGTAGCGCGACTATTCGATTATCAACAAATGGTTATCCTTCACCGACATATGCTGCATGGAATCAAATTGTACGAAATCCAACTATTGTTAAAGAATGTATTGCTGGTTTTAGTGGTCCTAATGGTTCACCACTCAGGAAGACAATATCTACAAAATAACGCGTTTTTGCTCGTTAATTTTGAACTGGTTTTATTGCATAATTATTAACTCATTAGTTACTGTTTGTCAACGAGAGTCATCCATTTTCAGTCAATTGATTTTTGTTTAAATACTTTAAAACGTTGAATCTTTTCCGATATTAACAAGCATTTTCTGTGATAATTGTTTAATATACTCATTTTGATTTAAGAACAGATTTTTTTAATTAAAGCACTCATTAATTCCCAGTAGCACACTTGACAAGCAAGAAAAGATTGTCCAATCTTTTTACAATCGAAATTGAATCTACTTTTTTTTTCGTCCACTACTATGATGTCAATAGCATGCATGTTAGCAAGAAAACGAAATAACGTTTTTTGTTCGTTCGTTTTTCACGTTGACAAAGAATCTTTTGCTTCTCTCTCTTTTGTTCTTTACAACAGCATTTTCAATAGAAACTAGTTGAAGTTTGTCCTTGAGTGTCAACGAATATTACAAACATTTTGCGTATAGTAGAAAAATCGAGATAAGAATCAGTTATTGCTATCTCAATAAATGAAATGAACGCTCTCTGTGTGATCAACAGCAATTTATTCAGAATTTTGCATAGTTGTTCAAGTAATCACTCACAGTAATATGAGCAGTCAAAAACATAAGACCAATCAGAAAATCTAAACCATAATTTAGCTAAACTTGGACAAGTTAATGTCGGAAAATCTAATATTTCTCGAATCAATATTTCATTAAAAAGAAGATTTTTTTGAAGAAAAGATTCTAATATAAAGATAATTTAAATTTTATTTTCAACGAAATACAAAGAAGAAACAAAACTACACGAATATCAACACTCAATCTACTATCTAGTAAGAAGATAATATTATTGTCTTAATTGAAATAATTTGTTCAGTGATATAGCATTTATTATTGTTGTTGTTATTGCATAATTATTTTGAACCGGTGTCCGTAACCATTTAGCAATATGTAATAAATTTCTTGAACATTTTTCAATACTAATAATTAATGAATATTGATTATTATATGAATGATTTATTTAACTTTCATTATTAATTAAATGTCGTAAAATAGAATGTGAAAGAAATTGAATAGTAATCGTTATATTTATATAATTAGCTTTATTTATTCATCGAGAGTCAACAAAACAACCAGATGATGGAAGAAGAAGCATATCATCATGTATGCGTCATTTACGTGGAATATTGTTTAGTTATTGAATATCCCATGTTAAATTATATTCATGACAGAGAGATTAAAGATTTTCTAAGAGTTTTACTTGAGGAAGAAGACATTTCTAAAATGATATTTATTGCCTTTATTGAAAAAAGGACCTTTGCCTATTTTTAATGTCAAATACGCTTCATTCTAATAACAATGTTAGGAAAAAAATAAGAAAGAAAAATGTTTTTTGTTCAATTAATCATACCATTGTCCATTCAATATATGAGAAACGCAAGAATAAATGTCAGATCATTTTTTAATTCGTTTTACTGTTCGTTTACTAGCACTTAAAAGTGAAGAATTTGATGAAAAATTTATAAAATTATATAAAAAACTAACAATGTCCAGTACGAACATCAATTCGTATAATCAATGGACGACCTAAACGATTCATTGTTTCATCTAATTGATATTGAATTGTGATATATATTTAAATGAATGTGCTGGTACAGCACGATCATCATGATCAGTTATTGTTACAAGAACTAATATGTTTTATTTTATATAAATATGAAACTGATTTAACATATGAAAGATATCGAACAAGAAAATATTTTTCAAACAAGTGTTATCTTCTAATGTCATTTTTATCTTTACTAATCATTTCTTGCATTTCTTGTATTTCTTGTTATAAGACAAAAATTTTCAGCCTGAGCATTTGTTCGTAAATAAAGTAAATCATCTTGTCATGTGACACAATCATAAACAAAATCCATATGATTAATTAATTTCGCGCAACTTCGTTGTTCAACAATTGAATTCGATGAATTTGATAATGAAAGAAACCAAAATTTATTTTCACATAATATATCTTTTGATATACTAACAATTAAATATTGTTCATCATCAGATGTTTCAACTGAAAAAAATGTTTATCAAGATCATCTCTACAACGAACAAGACATATATCAGATGGACGAGATGTGCCAAGTAAATGAAAATAAACTTCTTGAATGTCATTATGAGTTACTTCAATAGTTGCTGATGTCACTTCATTTTGTGACTATTTAGGAAATAAAGCAAATATAGAAATATAGAAAAAAAGATTTTTACCTTATCTTTTGCCTTTTCTGTAGAAGTAGTTGAATTGTTGTTCGATGCAGTATTATCTAGAGCACCTGCATAAGTTGCATAGAAAATACTACGATTATCTGTTGTCCAACGTAACGATGAAAATTTTGTTCGAATTATAACATCATCTAATTTTTTACGAGATGCATCACTCATAAAATAGATGGTCGACCAATCTGAGCCATCATCCGATACACTAGCAAAGAAAAGACCGATGTGATCTAAATCATGATAAATCATTCAAATCTAGGTAATTTTGACGACATCAGTAGTCATCACATGAAGTCGAAGATCTTCTGAACGTTGTCGAAATGGAATCTTAGGACGTTTTTCACCAAATCAAAATTCTTTTGTTGTCAAATTATGTAAATTACCAAAGGCAACAGCGACAGCCGTACAACCCAAACAAATCACATTGAATGGCATACTGAAATCAGGTATTGGACGATTAGCAAGTGAGGATTCGGAATAGAATCGAACAAAATCATCGAACGATAATGAAAGACTAAATAAAAATACGGTCATGTATATTTACTCAATTCAAGATTTTACCTTTGATTTAAAGAAAATGAATTGAGTGATCGAAGAATATAATTTGATTTTGTTGTTGAAGGAAGAAATGTTGATATCACAGCACTTGGAATGTAAAATCCATGACTTAGGTCCGATGGAAATTCGTTCCATTTCAAAAATGCCATTTCAAATTCAAAACTAATTATAATTGATTGTTTTGTTTTTATCAGTAATTAAAATTGATATGGTCGTTCACGATCTTTACCGAGTATTTATGATATGTAATCTATACAGATAATTCAATAATAGATGAATCAGAAGTAAAATAAATACAGACGAGACTATTTACCAGATTTGATTTCAGTGCTATTATCATCCAGTCTTGTTATTTTAAGAGTATGTAAGTAAACACGAAAATACCAAGGAATTTCTTCGAAATAAAATAATGTTATTTGGTTGTTTTTTTGTTCTTCATTAAATTTTATTAGAGTTTTAATATCACCATCACGAACGCCATAACCTTGTAAATATATATACTTATTTAGAAATCAAAGTTTTTTTGTCTTGTCTTATCAGTAACATATCGATGAGTAACAATAGGTGGTGAAGTTGTATCGTTTTGATTATCAGTAGATGATGTTTGTTGTTTATTTTAATTACAACTCATGGAGAATGTTATACCTTTTTGTTTTTCATTATGTAAATCATAAACAACAATAGTAGTTGTGCTTTGTTTGACTGAATAATCTGGCTCAGGACTTATGTTAAACGAATGTGTCTATAACAAAAAAATTATATTTCATCATTTAAATGATTAAAGATACTTGTGATAATTGTAAATCAATATAAATATTTGTGAGTAAACTAAGTAGACATGATTGAGCGACACTTGGTCCAAAACTCGAACAAAGTATCCATTCTCAACAGATAGAACAAGAATAAAACAATTCCACATCACCATAATTAACCATTGTGGTTTGCCTTGGAGATACCTGTATAAACAACAATAGCTAATACCATAGATAATTCAAGCTGAATGGACGTACATTCAGCATCCTTCAATAAAAGAAAAATCTATAATTCTGTGTGAATATGATATAACACTTACAGCACATATTTATCGTCGATCCGTTCGAAGTGAATGATACGTACTATGATGAAGTTTCGACGCATTGTCAAGTAATCCTGCAAGGTCTTATGATTTGAACCACCAGCTACACAAGATAATCGTTTTTTCATGTTATTAAATTTCCTATAAAAATAAGAAAAATATCAATCAAATTGGGATAAAAGTGAAAGAACAAATCAATGCAAGCAATTTCTATCGATAAGACAGCATATCGAAGAAGATAATTATCTTGATTTGAAGTTTCTGATATTAATTATGTCGATGGAGGGGTTAAAATGAATAATTTGGTGAATTTGAACTAACATTTGAATCAACAAAATAAAGAGAAGCACATAAAAGACTACCTACAGTGCCGGTCAAAAGTCTGGTACCACTTTTGATGGACACTAAATCATCTACAAATGATATCCACCGAAATTTTACTTTAAAGAATCCTCACATAAATCAACACTGAGTTTTCATTATTTAAATTCACTCCTGATGTTCATTTGAGTTAAACCATACCCAAACTTCTGCTCCTAATAGTACGCCAATAATTGGCATTCCCCATCGATCATATCACCGTAAACCTTGTGTTAATGAAGCATGACATTCACTAAAACCATTTGAACAAGCAACGTCAGCAATTGCTTTTGAAAATAAGTTATAATGGTGAACTACAAAATAAATATCAAATTAAATAAGTTTGTTCATAACAAAACTTACTGATACTTGCTCCAAGAATATCAGATGAAATAGGAGTTGTAAATAATGAATTAAAATAGGTATGATCAGTAGGTAAAGGACAAATATACAATATGTAACAAGGAAATGAAAATAAAAATAAAACAAAAACCAAAAAAAAAACATGGGTGTGGGTAAAACCATGCGATGGATCAACATTCACACCCACACCCTCAAAACGAAATTTTATTTTGTAACGAAGTAAAGTAATGGCATAAATCTTTCACCCGTATCAATGTGTTGAGCATTAAAAGTTCTTTTATCTTCGTACAATTGTGTTGTGTTATCTTCTCTTGTAAAGTTTTTTGTGACAATTCTCAAGTCATTACAATTAATTATTAATTTAGTTAGACGTGGTACAAATGTTTTTGTTTTGTTTAAAAATTCTTCAACATTGTCAATATTTCCACGTCTGACGTTAAGTGTAGTAAGATAAGGGTATTTAGCGATTGAATATGATTGACTATCGTCAGGTGAAAGTGAGTTAATATTGCACGACGACTGTAATGTAAGATTTATAACAGAAAGTTTATACAGTAATGAAAAAGATCGAGAAATCTGAAGAAAGAATTCATGATTGAATTTAACTACATCTTCTACCACCAAATCCGTAACATATTTGAATACAATAGCTGGAAATATGTTGCCAATATCTAGAAGCTGATCAAATACAAAAGGAAGTGAGACGATAGAACATACAGCTTCATGACTACTGACATAATTTATGATATTAGCCATATGTTATTGGCGTCCAAGATTTGTAGCAATTTGTTGAATATCTTGGCTAGGTATATAACGAAATAAATCAGCAGTATCCTCATAAGTACTAATATAAAAAGTAAATGAATGAAGACGTGGTATATAAAGAAGAATTTCATTTTGAAGATGAAAACTATCGATAAATGTATCTCGATGGTATATCATACGATGAAGAGGTAGAATTTTCTCATCATATTTATCAATTAGACGATAACATTTCAATGAAAAACATTTCAAATTAGGTAAATCATCCTATACGATAAAAAAGAATATTTATAAATATAAAAGTGTATAGAATTGGTAGTCAACTTCATTTCATGGTTGAGATTCTTTGTTAAAACTTACTATATTGTGAATGATTGATAAAGACTTGCTTGTGCTACGTATTCGAATAATTAGTGTAGTTAATTGTTTAAGTCGACCATCAAGTAATATAAAGACAATCATCTAATGTGCGCACATTGATACATAAATGAGTAAGAGTTGAAGAGAAAAACCTAATTGATGGTGAAACACAGAGGAATAAAGGTTAATATGATGGATTGAGTGTTTCAATAATACTCAAATGTTTTAAATTTTAAAGAAATTCAAGATAGGTTCATATACATTTCTATTATAGTTTTTCAATGATTCTATCACATCCGATTCATCGTTATTTGCGAGAATAAGATTTGTTTTTTTTTTCTTGAAAGATATATCGAAGAGATGATTCGTCTAAATAAGAAATAATCAAATATTCTATAATCTGTTCTATTTAACATCATTCTTTGTTATTTTTCTTACTTGTGAAATAATTTAAACAAACTTCTTGTGTGAAATTAAAAAGTTTAAGTTCAGTTAGATTTGGATAATCAGCAGCAAGAAGAACACGTTCCATTGAAAGTGCTTCAAGAATAAAACATTCCACATTTTGATGAATTTTTGGCAATATATCTTTGCAAAATCGATCAAGTTTGTGTTGATCAATTGAAAAAACATTATCGGTGGATACAAAATTGAGAGTATTACTGAAGATTTTTTCTTGTGCTAGACTATTCAAATATTTATTATTTAACGTTCAAAAATGAATATAAAACATCAATATTGTTCAGTTTTTTCAAAATAATAAGTAATATCTCATCAGGTAGATCCAATAGATTAATATTCGATCGACTCATATTTCATTCTGACTACGACACTTCTAAAAAAACAAAGGTATATATACATGTTTATATCCATTGTTTGTATATAACAGCTTTCGTCATTGTGGAATAAAATAGATGAACTCGTTGAAAAAAGTGAAAGTATTAATATGAAGAGGAAAATTCAATAATGAAATAAAATACAATATGATATGATGGTAATATATTATATTCTTGATCTTAATCAACAAAAGCTAACTGTAAGAAACAGCAAAAGAAAAAAAAATTCAGCACTTGTTGCAAACGAATGCCAAGAACGTCTTCAAACTACGTTTACTCGCTCGAAGAAAAAACATTCTTAATCATGTTTGGAAGATTTTTTCTATGGGATCGTATTGACTACAACACAGTTACCGAATAGGGGTGAGATGGGAGGGGCTATACTCCATCAAAAATTGAAAACAAGTCCAACTTTCTTCGAAAATTTTAAAAATATCATGGTATATTCTGGTGAAAACCTGTTTTCTAACCACTGTTCGCCATTTATCTGGTAGAGATATCTTCTGTCAACAAACTCGCAAAAAAACCGATCAACTCAATATCATTTGTTCAATTTCTGCCGAAAGGTCAGGTAAGGCACTTTCTGCCAAAATTTTCAGCCTTTCTGGCGAATTTTTAGCTCCTTCCATTGTTCAAAACAATCGACAACCCTGAACTAGAATATTGTGTTCAGATGACTTTGCAAGCAGGCAAATTTGGTGCGGAGTGTGAATGTTTCCCTTCTCATTGACCCACACCCATATATGATTCTGTTTCAAAAATATTTTGGACAAAAAAAGGTCTTGTCGATATTCCTCCTTTAGTTCATTACAATGATTAATAACTTAAATACTACACTTATGGTGCACTGCTATGAATCAATACTTCATTTAGAAATTTATCGCAAAAGCAAAGATTTATTAAAGTACAGGGTGGCCAAAAAGTCATGTTACCCAAAAAAAATTGAATATCTCCATTAGGGCTTGACCAAACTGGGTGATTGTTTTAGTAGTAATAGAGATATGTACAAGCTTTAAATCCATAAAGACATGTCTAGGAAGACCCTTTGTTAAGTATCACTACTGACCTCAAGAAGAAAAATTTTACTTTTTCATAGTTAGAAAAAAAGTCACTTTGCCAAAAAAAATTGAATATCTCCACTATGGTTCAAGCTAAAGAGCTGATTCTTTTATCAAT